AACATTGCGCCATGGTGAGCCCGATTCCGTCACATGTCCCCAATTGAACATGTGTTGGGTCATTTTGGACGAAAAAATAAGAACAAGACAGGTTCCTGTGGTGGCTAGACATAGCCTATTGCAAGCTCTAGGAGAGGAATTGCGCCGCATTCCACCTCTGCACCTCTCTTGCATACCTTTGTAAGATGTACATCTTCCCGAGGCAAGGGAGTTAACTGACTATAAAAGTCCAGTTTCTACCCTTGCCGAACTAGGCTGGTATTATGGAGTTAGATTTTGGCTGGACTAACGATTTATGCATAGTCCAATCAAAATCGCGAACCGAAATCGGAATCCGGTTTGTAAACTGTCATACAGAGTTCGTCGATTGCAGGATTTGCAAAACATGTGCACCGCCAAATCGTTTCATTTGCCGGAACAGGAAGCAGTCACTTGGGGCTAAGTCTCGGCTGTACAGTTAAGTCACCCACCCTACAGCCGAGACGTAGCCCCAAGTGACTATTTCCTGTTCCAGCAAATGAAATCTGCCCAACGTGGAAGACGCTTCAAGGATGGCGAGGACATAAAGGCTGCCACAGAGGCTTGGTTAGAGGGCCAATCTGCGGATTTCTATAATCAGGACAAATGGAATAAGTGTATTGAGGTGAATTGAGGTGAATTGAGGTGAATGGAGCTTATATTAAAGAAATAAAAGTGCAAAAGAAATTCTGCGATTTGGTTTTATATTGAAGTTGCAAAATTTATTGAACGCCCCTCGTATGTAAAATCAAAAATTATTTCTGAAGGATTCTTTGATGAAGAACGCGCATTCTGATTGGTTTGTCGTATTTTCGCACATTACATTCATCGATAGGGGGGACGAGTCTTCTTTCAGGATACAGAAAGTAGTATAGGTAATGGTGGCTCTGCCGCAACCCCACTGGAGCCAGATTTATATACCTATACTGCTACTACAGAGGGATTTTTTTATGCAAAAATGATGATGCGATTCAACGATTGTCATGATACGTATAAAAAGAAACATCAATATTAATTAATAATGGATAAAATTTACTATAGCCAACGAGGAAATTGGAAAGGTATAGGAGCAATAAAAAAATTAGCCACTGTGGCTAAGGTATCTAAAGATGTGGCTAAGGATTGGTTAAAGAAACAAGCTATGTGGCAAATATACTTACCAGCACCGCGTTATATCCCGAGGAAGAAGTTGGATATTTTTACAACGAATGAAGTTCATCAGGCTGACCTCTTGTTTCTTCCCCATGATAAGGTAAGACGCAAAACGTATAAATACGCTTTAACCATAGTAGATGTGGCTAGTCGCTACAAGGAGGCTGAGCCATTAATCTCGAAGGATTCAACAGAAGTAGCTAATGCTCTGAGACGCATACATAAATGCGGACCACTAAAATGGCTTAAGCTATTTCAAGTAAATCCCAGTCGCAAGTTTATAGGATCAGTAACTAAACTGTTAACAAAGCACGATGTCAAAATCAGGCGTGGTGAAAAAAAGGCCCACCGTAGTCAAGCTATCGTTTAAAGATTTAACCAGACATTAGCGGAACGTTTGTTTGAAATCGGAATGATTAAGATCAACCGAATGGGTGACACGATTATCAACGGTTGTATCAGCGCTGAATAATGAAGTAACGAGATTACTTGGGAAGAAACCATCTGATTCGATTGAAATGAAATCTGTGACTTCCGAATCTTCAGCACCGAGGAGAGGCAAAGAACAAAAACTTCTGGATAGAGTAAGCGTAAGATATTTATACCAGCCCGATTAACCCGATCCGATTTGGTCCCTTAAGATATATAACATAAGTCGGTTGGTTACGAAAGGAGGAGAGCCTATTCTTTATTATCTTAAAGATGGACCTTTTTTTACGAAAGAGGTAAAATAAGTTGAAGTGAATGAGTGCGCACATAAACTATATTTGTGTTTGCACATAAACTGTTTTTGTGTTTGCGTTTTTTTCCATAACCACACAACAATACAGACAATACAACAATACTAGTCACCGGAAACAGGCTTCACAGTATTCAATAAAACCTTACAAAATGTCCATATAAGTGTCCATTCTTGTGAGCAGTTTCCACATAAATCAATTGTAAGTGATTCTATGACATTTGACTGATTAACCACTCTATTGTTCTTGCGTTTGTTTCCATAACCGTACAACAATACAAACTCTGCTCACGAGCAGGCTAATTTTAACTGAGTAACATTGGTTCTCTTGTAGAACTCACCGAACTGAGCTGACAGAACCTGAAGTAAAATAAACACTGCAACAAGTTTTCACACTGTGTATTAAATAATGCTTACAATATACTAGATAGTATAAGCCAAACAGCAAAATTCAAGGCAAAATCGAATCGTATCTTGATTATTAAATTACAACAAAATGGACGTTTCTAAAAGAAGTGCTCAATCACGTGTAGCAACACATTTCTACATAAACATATTTTACAACAAAATTCACCTATGTTACTGTATAGGTAAAAACTATGGGCATTCCATAAAACGGAAGAAGTTGAGAAAGTGCACTTATATTCGTGTAATGGTTGGTGAATATTAAACAATGTACATCAAGTAGCGCTGTCTTGGGTGAATGTGGCAGAATCCCTCTACACATCAATGCAATGATGAGAGCTTTTAAATATTGGCTACGTTTAATGTGTATGCCGGGTACCCACTTACATAAAAGGTGTGATGAAATGATGTATTTATACGATAGTCAAGGAAAGAAGAATTGGGTTACTAATATTAGAACAACGTTATTTTCTTTTGGATTCGGTCATGTTTGGTTATCACAATCACCCGGTAATGTACAGGTATTTAGTTCGCTGTTATTTCAACGTTTGAAAGATAATTTTCAACACATATGGCATAGACGTTTCTGTAATAGCTCCACAGTGTCCTTCTATTCTCATTTTTAATTAAGGTTGAAGTGTGAAGAATATTTGCATTGTGTAACCGTGATTAAATTCCGGTCATGCATGTCAAGGTTTAGATGCAGTGCACACTAGCTGGAAATAGAAACTGGTAGAAAACTTAACATTCCTCGTGAAGAAAGATTTTGCAAAACTATGTCAATTTGGCCTAATAGAAGACGAGTTTCCTTCCCTGCTTGTGTGCCCTGCATATACTTACCTATGCCATCTCTATATTCCTTCAGGGGCGGTCGGGTAGCCTAGTGGTTAAAGCGTTCGCTCGTCACGCCGAAGACCCGGGTTCGATTCCCGACATGGGTACAATGTGTGAAGCCCATTTCTGGTGTCCCCTGCCATGATATTGCTGGAATATTGCTAAAAGCGGCGCAAAACCAAACTCACTTACTTTCTTACTTACTATATTCCTTCAAAATATTATCTACACCCAAATGTCCATACATTTGTTATTCTTTTATCTACAACTAACACACAGCTCATTATTAATATCGCTAAATATCTGTATCGCAGTAAAGAAGAAAGAATACGTATCATTGTGACTGTTGCCATAAATATGTGATACATTTTGTGTAACCGATTTTAGTGTGGAGGCCACAACAAAGGTCCAAGACACTGGTTACAGGGTGAGAACGTTTTATTCCGGTCAATTAACACACCCTGAAACAATATATCATTCAATATATACAGCGTCATACAATATAACTTGGGGCTTAAAAACAGTTCATTACACAAATTTGGTGAAACATAAATGACAGATCATATGACAATACAACAAGGGGAGATAACTCCTTGTTTAACTCATATCTTCAAAATATCTTCAAATTAAATATATATGACACAGACATCTTAATGCCAGACGCATATCAAATGGAATAGATGTGATACTCAGTATCACATAAACACACGAGAATGCAAATTAACATAGTTCCTGTCCGGTGTATGGCACTAGGGTGCACACGACGTTCACTAAGCTCCGCCAAGCCAGATATAGCAAGCGTACCTAAAATCGGTGTAAACAATATGCATCATTAATTCTACAGTAACTACAGATCAGCATATCTATTATCATTACAAACGCATGGAACACCTCAAAACAACTTAGGCTAAAATCACATTCGTACTTACATTCACATATACACTATTCTTCCTTTCATATATGAAATCAGTCAATCAAACACTCAAACATGCAACAATTCACTCATAGGGAAAATATAATTACCTGAATGAATTATATGAGTTATTTGATAGTTTTTGCATTAATTCTATGCTCTGAAATACACTAAAACCTGACTAAAGTGTTATTTACATTTAGGTAAGGTTTACCATCATTAAAGTTGAATTTACTGGTAACTTGACTTTGCACTGGTTAACCAATACCTACTCTATTCATATATTGTCACTTTTGGTTGTGTGTATTGGTTGGTTTTTCATTTAGGCTCAACGTTGGTTTAGTAGATGCTGTGATATTTAGTTATGTTTAACTTGGTTTGTCTTGGCGAGATAACATACATCAGTTGATTATTGCCAATGAGCTAGGTGTTCACTTAGTCTGCTACAGTCAAGTTTTGGGGTTTTGGTTTCGCTGGTTCCAGTCTGCTTCCTTCCTTCCTGCATCAAGGTTGGCAACTGATGAATTTATCAAATTGTTTCATTCCAGATGTGACTCCCTTGGGCAACAGTAATGCTACTTGTTTTCTTTCAGCTTCTGACTTGCTGTTACCATAGTGTCACTAGTTGTTTCAGGTGTTTACTGGTAGTTAGCTATACACATACCTAACCTTATCTGCAACCTTCGTACCTGTATGTGGGTGTTGTCAAATTACCAATGGGTACGTAGCCCTGTGGATACAGTTCATCTTTGAATGAACCAATACATAGCATCATTTTGCTTGCCATTTCAAGCTTTGGTGTTTGGTAACAGTGAATTACTTTGGGGTAATTGTGTGCTTTCCGTAAGCATTTACTTCCAACTTTTATATTAACCTTGCCTACCAACCTGCACTGTGGAACTCAATCAGGAGGAACTTATGTTAACCATCTTTGAGAAGATGGGAATGGCACCAAAGATTGACAACACTGACGATTTCAAGACTTGGCTCAAGGACACGTCCAAACAGGAAGGTTTAATCATTGGACCAGATGTCAAGCCAGCTCTTCCATCAGCATCAGTCAAGGAAGGACAAAATTCCACTGCTTCATTTCATTATTTTCCCAGGATACCCTTCTTCAGTGGAGAAACAGGCAAAGATACTCCCTATGACTTATGGCGATTTGAAGTTGACTGTCTACTCCAGTCTAAGACCCACTCCCATGATGTCATTCTGCAGGCTATGAGGAAATCTTTGAAAGGTGAAGCAGATCTTATTGCCATGAAACTTGGAAGGAATGCTACCGTTGACAACTTGTTATCCAAGATGAAGAGTGCCTTTGGAACATTACCTTGGAGAGCTTCTCTCATGTCTGACTTGTATAGTTGTTTTCAAAGAGAGGATGAAGATGTCACCACATGGGGATGTAGGCTTGAGAATATGTTATACCAGATAACGGAGCACCACCCTATTCAAGAGGAAGAACAGGATGAGATGTTCAGGACTCGTATGTGGGATGGACTGAAGTCTGGACTGAAGGGTGGTGCTGCTCAAAAGTTTGATGCCATCAACAATTTCGATGACCTACGACTTTGTTTGAGAGAAATAGAGTTTGACTTAAAGAGAAACAAGTCTGGAATACCAACAAAGAAGCAGTCAGCCACAGCTAAGATGGTTACTACTTCGAACGCATCTGGTGCTGCAGCAACTAAGGGGGAAGTCACAGATCTCAAAGTCGTGATGGAAGAGATCCGGAGAGAGATATCCGAGTTGAAGGTTGGTTGGTTGGTTTGTTGTTAAACGCCGCACTCAGCAATATTCCAGCTATATGACGGCGGTCTGTAAATAATCGAGTCTGGACCAGACAATCCAGTGATTAATATTATTAACATATTCCCATAGAGACACTTGATGATGTCTTAGACATTGAGTGTGCCGGAGGTGAGTCTCTGCCATATAGGGGATTTATAGAAGTTGGAGTAACAGCTGCAGGTAGAGGAGTTGCAACAAAAGAGGAAATATCCTGCTTATTCCTGATTGTACCAGACACAAGATATAATGCTAGAGTCCCAGCTTTACTTGGAACAAACATTTTGAGATGCTCACTGTATGACTGTAAGAAGTCGCATGGACACCAATTTTTACAGAAAGCTGATTTACATACCACATGATATTTACCATATCGGTTACATTTGTACAAAGGGCCTGTGGCCTGTCTAGTACTGAATAAAGAATTCAAAAGATTACCTACAAAATCAATACTTGATCTTATAGAACCTATTGTGTGCAGAAAGTAATTGTTATTTACCAGAGACTACCAAATGACTAGAAACCCTTCCACCGCGATGGCTCCCGGAGTCATTCCTCCATTATGACCCAGCCAAGACTGATTTCAGATCTCCGCTGACTCCCGCTCGTGCAATATGCGCTTCCACCAAGCCAACAAAGCAGAGCCAACCACCGACAGAGAGACAGACATACAATTTCACAGTCTAATCCCAATTCATTACACCAATGCTACATATACTGAACAACAAAAGTTCCTGTGACATTGAAAAACATTTAATGTAAAGTTATGCTTTTTACCAAATCTGAAACAATTTCGGTTTGCAACAGATAAAAGACTCATGTAAGTGTTCAAATGGTTTAATTTGCCATACTGACTTCAGAAAATGCGTGATTTCATACAAAAACATGAACATGCCAAAATGTCAATTTACAAATCAATAGCGTGTGTGTCCACCTCTGGTAACGATGCAAGCAACACATCTTTGTCTCATGGAATGGACCAGGCGTCGCACAAAGTCTTGTGGGATATCTGTCTATGTCTGCTGGAGCATGTTTCGAAGTTCCTGGAGTGCCTGTGGAACACGTGGTTCACGTCGAAGGCGCCGATCCATTTCATACTCTCATGTTTTGTTGAAGAGAATCCTGAACAAGTCGAGCAATATGAGGCCGGGCGTTGTCATGTTGAAAGGTAATTCCTGGGCCATGACGACGCAAAAACGGTAGAACAACAGGGCCGATCATGTCGTCGCGGTAGCGCTGTCCATTAAGATTTTCCTCTACCACTACCAAACGGGCCCTCTGTCTGTCCTCTGTTATCCCACCCAATACCATAACGCTGCCGCCCCCGAACCGATCTTCTTCCATGACACAGTGATTGACGTAACGTTCACCTCGACGTCGGTACACTCGAATCCGTCCATCGCTGTGGCTGAGGTGAAAACGAGACTCATCAGTGAACAGAACTTGTCCCCATTGCATGGCCGCATAGCGTAGACACTGTCTGCACCACTGTAGACGTGCTTGCCGGTGGTTTCCTGTCAAAATGGGACGTCTGGCGGGTCTTCTGGCGACAATCCCTGCACATCTGAGGCTACGACGTTACGCGTAGCTTGCCACTCCGAGGATGATCTCTGACTGCATTCGTCTGTTGCCAACGTTGCCATAAACACCAAATGGTGTTTCTTTGGTCGTTAAATTGTCTTGCAACATCATGTTGACTCGATCCTGCTTCAAGCATACCAATGGCTTGCAGACGCTCATTTTCGGACAGGCGTGGCATTTCGTAATGTTGAGTAATTGCGTAATTTTGTTGTTTTTCTGAGTGGTTGTTGTCAGCTAAATAATGCATATGGAATCCCGTTAACGCACACGTTTTTATACCCATTCCTGAGTTGTGAAATGCACGGGGCTTGCATAAAAGTCAACTTTTGTGACTTGATTCCATACATGTACTACAACATTGAAAACCAAACTTTACTTGTTTGAAAAATACATGAAAATATTGGTGTCACAGGAACTTTTGTTGTTGGTATATTAAAATCAATACATGTGCCAGTCCATACGACGATAAGAGTTAAGAGATACTCTTCTAAATTGTATCCATATATTTTCGTGGCATGTTTTAATGGGAAAAGGACAAAAATATTATCTGACGGAATATACAGATTTGATAAAATTGGAGCTTATCTGGTGGCAATCAGCATTATACACTCGACAATTTGAAGTAACATGGCATCTATCTTCAACAACATTTAGATACTGCAAACATTCCCTGTCCTCCAAAGGCGTGTCAATATACCGTCCTAATTCAATTTGGTTAGAAGCAGTACCACATCTAAATTTAGCAAACACGCTTCTGTGAGTTCGCTGTCTGCATTATCAAAAGTAAGATGAATCATTAGCTAGAAACAATAATTGTTATGGGATTTTTGTCAGAAGTGGGATTAGTTTCAGACACTCTGGTTTTTCGGCTTGACGAGCGAACGCTTTAACCACGATGGCTACCCCATCGCTGCTGACAACGGGTGGATGAGCAGAGTTAACAACATTTTATAAGGTCATCATACGTCATAAGTAACTTATAAACGCACGTTGGCCCATAACTTTGAGGCCTACAAAGTACAATCTTCACCCTACATCCTACACCCTACACCCAACACCCCACACCCCACACCCAACACCCAACACCCCACACCCTACACCCCACAACTGACACCCCACAACACCCTTCACATTGTCATGACCAAGATGGTCGGGGTAGTGGTAGTGGAAGAGGTCCCTATTAAGGTATAGCAATTATAATGAGATGCGCTGTTTTCTTTTCGGACATAAGTAACTTATAAACGCATGTTTAGGCCTACAAAGTAAAATCCACACCCTTCACCCCAAACCCAACACCCCAGACCCAACATCCAACACCCCACACCCCATACTCCACATCCAACACCCCACAACTCACACCCCACAACCCTCTTCACATTGTCATTACCAAGATGGTCGGGGTAGCGGTAGTGGAAGTGGTCCCTATTAAGGTATAGCAATCATAATGAGATGCGCTGTTTTCTTTTCGGACATCTTCAGTATCTGGGTATAAATGGAATGTCTCCAGACACCGACCTCATTGGAATAACCCGTAGATGATATATACATATCACCGCCATGGTAGACAATATTGCTTGGCGTGAACTCAAACGAAGTTACTATTTCACTGATGTTACTGGATAAATGATTCTGAATTAATGTATGGCCATTGTTGTAGTACAATGTTTGTGCAGCTTCATCTAACGCCAAAACAAATATCGTTTTACCTTCAAATATAATCTTCTTACTCTTACCTTCATATGTATATGACACAACTTTATGCATATCAGTGATATAGAACATTTTATGATTTGTATCAAGACATAGTGAGAGAGCAACCTTTATCAGTTTGACAAAGCACCTGTATATTTTTCCCTCGGGGGTCATTTTGCAGATAGCATGACGTGGAGTCCAGATGGACACGAACACAAGATTCTGGTTGTCATCCACTGCAATGTCTCTGACGGTTACTTTCCTTTTAAGCATCACTTGGTGTCCGCCATCTACAGGGTAAGAGACGATGTAATACGGTTTAGCAACAGCTATTATTAGAGTTCTTGAATAGTGAACATAGGCAAAGGCAGCAACGTTCAATGACTTTATGTTCGGGTACACCTTCCATGAGTTGTCTTGTAGGTTTATCTGGTAGAAAGGTTTTTCCTTAAATCTGAAAGTTGAAGCCATCAGGAGTTTTGTCATCGGGGGCTTGATAGGATCTGAAAACAATTGGTTTGTTTGCTTGTTAGTTTGTTAGTTTGTATGTTTGTTTGATAATCGCCGCGCTCAGCAATAGTCAAGCTACATGACAGCGGTCTGTAAATCATCTTGTCTGGACCAGAAAATCTAGTGATTGAGCACCATTCCACACACCACGATAACACACATTAAGCCAAGTATCCGAATTTCACCACGGCACTCTAAGGTTAAATGTCTGCTAACTGGGAACCAACTCAATCTGATCATGACAATACCTTCTTCACCTTGCGCATTGCATCACCATCGAAGAACCATTCATTGTTTGTTTCATTTTAAACCACTATCAAATATGGATGTATACTTTATTTTGCCCGCCAGTTTGTCGTCAGATATCTGTAACAATCGTGGGGATTCCAGTTTAGAAAATGTCTCAAGCAACCGATGCTTGTTGAAAGTGGTGACTTATGGGTCGGGTTGTTAGGCTCGATGGCGTTGTTGATGGCTTGTCATCGTACAGAGAAGGCGTGGGACGTTAAGTACAAGTTTAAATCAAAACTGGTTTGTCTATTCAGGCACAATTATTTACATGTATTTATCGTGTGGGGTAGCCGCCAGGGTGGCGTTAAACAAAAACACAACCACCGAGATGACTGCTCACACTTTGGTTTTCATCAACCACCAAAGACAACCATCAGTGTGCATGTGCCTGTGTTCGTATTCACTTATCAATCTTGCATTGGTGCATGTGAAGCAATTGGTTTTAAAGCGGACTAAAAGAGGCACCATACTTACCTAATGTGTTTGCCATTGGATCTGATGTACGAGGGAGTGTGTGATCATGAGTTGCCACATTAACTGACAGTGTACCATTAAGCCCGAGAGGGTGAAGAATGTTATTCATCCTATCAGTCAATAAATTAGGAGCGAGCGGTGACACTTCTGACTGTGTATCATGATGCCCTGGAGGCTGCTCATGTTATCGGTCACTGGTTAAACTGGCCCAAACCTCATTATTTACAGACAGCCGTCATAATACGGAACTGTTGCTGACTGGTGTTAAACAAAACATTCATTCACTCCCAGTGAACAAGGTGTCAAAAGTACGATTAATGTTAACGTTAATATCAGCAAACTTTCCTTGAAGTTTCAATGTTGTAAAGACGTAATCCTTGAATAATAAATATAACTGAACTTACTGGTATGAAATATCATTGTTGTGACTGCTCATAATAAGAGCCATTTTCCAGTGTCTTATGTCTATGTTTTTATATGATACTTAACTTTGCTCAGATAGGAACGTCTCAGTGGTCTAGTGGTAGAGTGTCTGCCCGGAGAACGGAAGGTTGGGGGTTCAATCACCAGCCCCGTCATACCAAAAGACGTTAAAATATGGTACTTGTCGTTACCCTGCCTGGCGCTCGGCATAAAAGGACTAAAACCATGACTGGTCGGCTCGAGGTCAGTGTACTGTGTCAGAAGGAAGCTATGGTTGCGTATGATCCAAGGGTATTTATCATAATGACATGAAGATATAATAAGTTTAATACCCGGGAATGATTAAGAGTAGAAAATATACTTACATTGTACACATTGGATGGTTCCTGATCTTGTGAAGACAATCCGAGAGTTTTTTCTCGAGCATTGCTGCTGTAGTTTTGGTTCATGTTGCTTCTGGAAACATGACAATGTTGGATGTTAACTTGGAAACAAACTTACATTTCCATTTTCCACAAAGTTGTGGTGTTAACAATTTATTTGAGACATATTACGTTTCGGCAATGATTTTGGTAGTTATTTTCGAATAATACTGGGGGGGGGGGGGGGGGGGGGGGGGGATCTGAT